TGGCATTACATCCTTCATTACAAACATAGAACAACAGGATTAACAAGCAGGCTACAATGAACATTATATCACTCTCAGCATATACGACTTAAAAATCGTAATTTATCTAAATTGTAAGATGTGATTTGCTTCTTCACTATTCCTCTTCCTGTCAAAAATCCCATATACGCTTAAATGTAGAGAAGGAAATGTGTACATTTCTGAAACAACGAGTTGCTTGCGCAGCAGAAATGACAAAAAGCAAAATCTTAATTCTTATCTTGCGCCTTTTAAGCTTTTTCTTTCCCTATTCCCTCTATATCTTTAGGAAAAATGTTATAAAACTTGTGATTCAAAATGTGAAGATTAGTAACGCCTATCGTCAGTTATTTTAGATGAGTGGCATTTCTGCTGGAACGTTTTCAAAGTCTGATGATGAATGGGAGGCGAAATCCGCCACAGGCACTGCGCTAAATGTGGGACCATTAGAATTTGTTCAGAAAATTGCTTCTCAATTTGAGGCAAAGGTTAGCTTCATTCTAACTTACATTTCTAAATTTTATTTTAATTTGATAAGTCATGTGAAGGTTGAACATCTGCTCACAAAGACGCTAACATGATAAAGCAAAAAAAAAAAACAGTTTCTAAATGTTTAGTGCATATTAGGAGAAATGTCAAAACTGTAGCTATTGTCCTCAAATGTAGAACGTACTTTCAGTTCAGTTTCCAACATTTTCTGTACGTTGTCGAATGCGATGTAAATGCTGCAGTGAACATCACAATCGCTGGAAAGGACTACACCATAACTTCCAAAAATGCGATTATCCATGTAGATGATAAAACGTGCATTCTGGCCTTCAAGCCATTCTTTGGTCGGTCAAAAGCGCCACAATGGACCCTTGGTGGCCCATTTCTCCGCGAGTTTTGTAATATTCATGATGTTGCCGGAAAGCAGATCGGTTTTGCCAAAGCAAAATCTGATTGAGAACTGCATTATGATATGTATGGTAATGATCGACTGGTTTAAATAAATTTTGGTTTT